TCATTCACTCTAAATCATCATTCTAAATTTCTAATAAACTTACATAGTATTAATCATCATCATTCATTCAAAATCATCATCATTCACCAAAATCATCATTCTTCATTCATAAATAAAATCATCGTTCACTCTATATCATCATTCTAAATTTCTAATAAACTTACATAATATTATTCAGTCAAGGAGCAGCCGAGCAGACTGCAGGAGGGCCTCGTGATACAAGAAATTTGGGCGAACAAAAGCGTGGTGGCGGTGATGGGAAGAGGGTTGTTGACTGTTGTTGTTGCAAGTTTGGGGGATGGAGGTGAAAGAAGCTCCCCGTCAACCGAAAGATCCCGAGCTCCCAAAGCAGCAACTGCCGATCCTCGTGATACGAGAGTCGCCCGGTGGCGCGGTGGGTGACCGCGGGCGGCGTAGTGGGTGGAGGGCAGCGCGATTGGAGAGAGGCGGCGACGACGATTGGAGAGCAGGCGATGTGTGTGTGACAGTGTGAGGGAGGATTGGAGGAACATGAATGCGCGCTAGGGTTGGGGTGTAAAAGGGGATGGCAAAACGACGTCGTAGAAGGTCGGTCGGTTAGTGACGGTTAGCCATTTAATCGGTGTCGGTTTATCGGCTAACCGTCGCACCAATAACCAACTCTGACACCCGACCGGTGCTTGTTATTTTCGGTTTCTGGTTAGCCTCTAACCGACAACCTATATGAAAGCCCTAAAGATAAGGAAGCAGTTGGGTAGGGGAGTAAAAGATAGACATAATTTTTATTATTATTGAGAATTGCTATTGGTTTTGAGGTAACTGAAATTACCATGACGAGCTTGTTGCCCACCTGCTAGCTCATAGTTTTCTTGCATTATCTTTTGATAATGACCTTCTTGCATTATTTATTTTTCAATTAAAATAATATTCGCATAAAACTTTAATTTGTGATAATATTTCTCATATTCCATTAATTCTTGAAATGTATTTTATGGGAAATTCTTGAAACATTCTATTTTATGTTGATGAAGGAGTTTATCAATTGTGATAAATTTTCTTAATATTTTAAGTAAACATAATTAAAATAACATAATATTAATACTCTACTCGTGCTTTCAGTATTGCATTCTTGACAAATTGACGCTCACGCTCCCGCTCCGGCTCTCGCTCCACGCTCTGGTTACCTAAGTACATCCCATGGTGTCCCTGCAAAAGTATGATATTGATTTTGAAGAAACGTTTACTCCGGTTGCAAAGATGGTCACAGTTCGTTCTCTGTTGGCGGTTGTGCTCTGCGTGGTTGGCCACTCTTTCAACTTGATGTCAATAATGCCTTCTTGCACGGTGAGTTAAAAGAGACTGTTTACATGGAACGTCCATCTGGCTATACTCGAGGTACTCTGTATCAGGTCTGTCTGCTATGTCGCTCCCTCTATGGTCTAAAACAAGCATCGCGGACATGGTTTGAAAAGTTCCACTCCACTATTCTTGCTCATAGTTTTCAGCAGAGTCTCAATGACCCGTCCATATTTAAACGTAGCACAAGTACTGGTCTGGTGGTGTTGCTCATATACGTTGACGATATGATAATCATGTGTGATAACTCCACAGGGATCAAGACTCTTACAGATGGTCTCCATGCTTCGTTTAACCTTAAGGATCTCGCCTATGTTGATTACTTTTCTGGTCTTGAGGTTAAGCGTTCTCCCGCTGTAGTCCTTCTTTTTCAGATCCGATATATCGATGATCTTCTCGAGTCCTCTCGGTTCGCTGACTATACATCTGTCTCGACTTCCATAGAGCTTAGTCTCAAGCTCGACCGAGAGTCTGGTGAGCTGTTATCTGACGGGGGTAAACACTACATGAGTGTCATTGGGAGTTTGATCTACTTGACTTCTAATCGGCCCGATATTGCTTATGCGGTCTAGATTGTCAACAGTTCATGTTAGATCCTCGAACTAATCATCTCGCTGCCGTACATCGTATTCTGAGGTACCCGCAAGGCACGAAGGAGGTTGGATTGTTTCTTCCCTCTTCTGACTCTCTTGTCCTACAGGCATTTTCGGATTCAGACTATGCATGATGTGTGGACAGTCGTCGGTCTACGACCGGGTGGTGTGTACTTCTGGGTGATTCCTTCATCTCATGGCGATGTAAAAAGCAGGATTGGGTCTCGAAGTCTTCTACAGATGCTGAGTACAGGGCCATGTCTGATTTCTCTTTGAAGCTTGTCTAGTTACGGCATCTGCTTGGTGATCTTGAGGTCGATTGCGGGCTTCCTCTCCAGCTCTATGTTGAAAATACTAGTGCTATTCAAATTACGACGAATCATGTTCTCCATGACCGCACGAAGCACATCGAAGTTCACCTTCATTATATACAGGACCTAGTTCTCGATGACATTCTTCGGCTATTCTATATCACTTCCGAGAACCAGATTGTTGATCTGTTAACCAAGTCGTTCTCGGCCAGTCGTCATTTCTATCTTTCTTGCAAATTGATGATGAGTGATCCTCGTCAATTTGGGGGAGGCTATTGAGTAATGTACTTTGGGATTTGGCCCAACTTCCAATACGGGATCTTAGCAGTATGGGTTAAGCTAGGGCTGGCCGATTTTAGGAGCTAGGGTTTATTATTCTAGCTTGTATATATATGCTTGTAACCAGACTCATTGAAGCTAAGCTGAATAAGAGGATACAATAGCTTCGGTCGTGGACTAGTCTCGTTCATACTGAACAGGTGAACCACGTTAACTCTTTGTGTCGATTTACGTTGTCTGTTTTGATATTCGTTACGATTAACAATTAGGTGTTTGTTCGTCAATTTATCTAGTAGGTGGAGGAGTGGCCGAGTGTTTCGGTGACCGATCCTATGAGTGGAGAGATTTTTCAACGTCCTCTGGTCTTTCAAGGGTTCTCACAATCGAATCCAATCGAGATGATGTGTTACTTTGATGGATCAGTTTGATGTTGGTCTCAATAGGATGTAGGTCTTGTAATGAGTTAGGGTTGTTGGTTAAAGGGGTAGTGTATAAAGGGCTTTTGGGGGTCATTTGGATGGGGGATTGTGGTGCAGGATTTTGCCACACTATCTCACCTTTCCAGATTTCCCCTAAATAACTTCTTTGGAAAACATCAAGGATTCGGAATTAGAGATTTTAAAAACCCATTGTCGATTTTTGAAATAGTTGATGCCCATAATTTTTTTTGAAATCTCTCGTTTTTATTTCCCCTTTTCCAAATGTTACCCTTCTCCCTCTCTGCATTTCGCCCCGACCTCCTTCAACGTCATCCGTCACAGCCATCACCTCCTGATCTTCTAATCGTATACGTCTCGCCGTCACCGTGAATCTGGTGGGTAGATTTTCATCGCTGGTTTCTGATTTTCCTTATTACGCACCAAGAATCCGGCACCTGTTGCTGGACATTGGGGTTTTGAGCAGCGAATCGGTGATTTCATATTGTTCTTCGAAGAGACGCAGAGAGGGCAAGAAATAGATCTAAATCAAACCAATCCCTCTATCCCAGTACACAGATTGTGTGGATATTCTCAAGGTCGTCGAATATTCTGGAAGACACCTACTCAAGCAACAGAGTCGTCGATGTTGGAAGCGTCGATTCAAGTCTACGACGTTGATTCCCTTTTCTGCGTTATAGAGTTTGCTCTGTTGTTATCCTTCAGTCGTACTAAAGTTGCGGTTTGAGGACGTTTATCAATTCAGGTGTATGTCGTTTACAGGCGAGGAGCCTTTATGTTCCAAGGAGGCGAGGACATTAGTTGATTTCCTTTTGCCTTGTTTGCAATTTCAGAAGGGGTCGAAGAAGGATGAAGGAGGAAGAAGGTGAGGGTAATTTGGGTTTTGTATGATGGGGGCCCAAATCCCTCATTTTAAACAAATAAGTAAATTGGGTCAAATAACTCATTAAAATTTCTTGGGTTTTTAAGTGAGTGATTTTCGCTCAAGTATCTCATAAAATCACTCATATTAAAGTTCCTAATCCAAACGGACCCTTGGATCCTACTCTCATGGAGTTAGTGGCGCTTCGGGATGCAGTTAGTTGGTGTACTCCATCTCGACTTTTATGGTGTGTTGTTGGAGTGGGAAGCGAAGGTGATCATTGGTAATATTAATTATGCATCTACCCAATACTGTAAGGAAGACACCCTATTGAAGAGTTTTCGACGATATTTGGATTGTATTCGAGTTTGATGTTGGATTTGATAGTGGACAAAATAATAAGATAGCTCTTTGGTGACTCACAAAGCCCTCTATTTATTTTCTGAACTCGATTTCTTGGATGAAGTCTTGAATATTTCTTGGATGAATCGTATTAGGCCTGGATGTAAACTCATACGAAGCCTATAATGATGCCTACCATCTCTGGACACTGGTATGGTTACATTTACTGGTACATCTAGAAGGAAAGCAGTTTTGAGCAGTGATGACAATGTGGCGAGGCGGGGTGGGTAACCTAATACCCATGTCCCGTCCCACGATACTGTGGGTCGGGGCGGGTAAAACCAGCGTGGGTATGTGGCGAGGCGGGTCGACCCACTATTACATGTTATTTGAGAAAAGTACAAGCAAATTTTATTTTTGACGATAAAATGAAGGAGAAAACATTGAATGAATGAAAATAGTGATAATAGAATGAGTAATTGAGTCAAACAAATTGAAAAATTTGCTCTAACTAGTTAAAGAAAAGTCAAAATAGAAGAAATATGTATAGATACCATAAAAAATTGAAAAAAAATTGGACAAAAATGAAGCGGATTAGCACTGAGCGGATCATAAGTAAATATCCATGGCTGTCCCACATCACTGCGGGTGACGGTGGGGTAATACCTTGCCAGGTCAATTGGGGCGCGTTCAAATAGCAATTAGTGGTTTTGAGACACAAGTACGAGTTCTGCGAGTGGGCGTGGGGATACTCCGTAAACTCGTTTCCCAAGCCACAACACAATCTATCCCGCAATCTCACCAAAAACCCTAGCGCCTGCTCTCTCCCTTCCCTCTTTCCATGGAATCCGTCGTCGAGGAAGCTTCGAACCCGCAGTTCCATCTCTCAGATCCCTCTCCTCCGCCAGAGAACCTGGCTCTGGACACTGCCGAGCCGCCTTATCCGGATAAGCCGCCCCAATCTGACGACTCCTGTCTCGGTGCCGCTGGTAATAATTGTCAGATCGAGTTCCCCAAGCCTAGGCTCGACTTCACCAAGCCTCTCCTGTCCGAGAATGGACTCACCAACACCAACAGCGGTGACAGGGACTTCTCCGGCGGCGAAGAGGAGACTACGAGCCGTCGCAAGCGGAGGAGCCGCTGGGACCCGCAGCCGGACGGTAGCGGTGGCAATCAGGCGGCCGATGGAGGCGGGAGCAATAACGGTAGCAGTAATAATAATAATGAAACCGGGAGTGGTGCTCGGAAGAGGAAGTCGAGGTGGGCGGATGATGAGCCGAAGCCTGTGATTCAGCTCCCTGATTTTATGAAGGATTTCACCGGAGGTATTGAATTCGACCCCGAAATCCAGGCTTTGAATGCTAGGCTTCTCGAGATTAGTAGGATGTTACAGTCTGGTACGTCACAGTCTGGTTTGCCGTTGGATGATAGACCTGAAGGAGCTAGGTCTCCTTCTCCTGAACCTATTTATGATAACATGGGAATTAGGATCAATACTAGAGAGTATAGGGCCAGGGAGAGGTTGAACAAAGAGAGGCAAGAGATTATTTCACAGATCATCAAGAAGAATCCTGCTTTTAAGCCTCCTGCTGACTACAGGCCCCCAAAGCTTCATAAGAAGCTATACATACCAATGAAGGAATACCCAGGGTATAACTTTATTGGATTGATTATTGGACCTAGGGGGAACACGCAGAAAAGAATGGAGAGGGAAACCGGTGCTAAGATTGTAATTCGAGGGAAAGGGTCGGTGAAGGAGGGCAGGCTGCAGCAGAAGAGGGATTTGAAGCCGGATCCTTCTGAGAATGAAGATTTGCATGTTTTGGTTGAGGCTGAGACTCAGGAGGCCTTGGATGCTGCTGCTGGCATGGTTGAGAAGCTTTTGCAACCGGTTGACGAGGTTCTGAACGAGCATAAGAGGCAGCAGCTTAGGGAACTAGCTGCTTTGAATGGGACGATTAGGGATGAAGAGTATTGTCGGTTGTGTGGTGAGCCTGGACACAGGCAGTATGCTTGTCCATCGCGGACTACAACGTTTAAGAGTGATGTGCTCTGTAAGATTTGTGGTGATGGTGGACATCCTACCATTGATTGCCCAGTTAAGGGAACAACTGGGAAGAAAATGGACGATGAATACCAAAACTTCTTGGCGGAATTGGGTGGGACGATGCCCGAGTCCTCGAATAAGCAAACTTCCACCTTGGCCTTGGGGTCAATTGGATCTGGAAGCAATCCTCCATGGGCTAACAACACTGGGGGTATTGGCAGTGCAAATCAAGCCGGACTAGGAGCCACTGATGGTAAATCAACAAAGGAATATGATGATACCAATCTTTACATTGGCTACTTGCCTCCTACTTTTGATGATGATCGTTTGATCCAGTTATTCTCTGCATATGGTGAGATTGTGATGGCTAAGGTAATCAAGGATCGGGTTACTGGGTTGAGTAAAGGGTATGGTTTCGTCAAGTATCGTGATGTTCAAATGGCTAATTCGGCAATTACTGGCATGAATGGAGCTCGTGTTGAAGGTCGGACCATTGCTGTGAGGGTGGCTGGTAAGCCTCCTCAGCCCAGTGTTCCTCCTGGCCCTCCTGCATCCAACATGCTGACATACCCTGTATCAAGTCAACCAGTTGGTGCCTATCCATCCCAGCAGTTCACCCCTGGTGGTCCTCTTCCACCTGTCCCTCCGGGGAAATATGCTGCACCTCCTCCAAGCTATGGAGGTCCCCTTGTTCCTTGGGGACCACCTGTTCCGCCTCCCTATGCTCATTATCTTCCACCCCCACCCGGTGCGAACATGTATCCACCACCTCCTCCTCCTCCGGGACACCCAATGGCACCTTATGGCATGCAATATCCTCCACCGGTGCCTCCGGCTCCTGGTGCTCCTAATCCAGCAGTGACTTCTGACGCTCAACAAAGTTACCCACCAGGCGTCTCGGCGGAGAACCACACTTCTGCTCCGCCTCCTGCATCATCTAATATCTATGGGAATGTTCCACCAATGCAATCTGCTGGTCAACCACTTTACGCAACAGCTTCTCTAGGTTACTCATCGTACTATAGTGCAGTTCCTCCTCCTGCTGCTCCTATGCCGACAAGTGATCACTCCCAGGGGATGAGCAATTTACCTTGGGCTCCAAATCCACCACAACCGCCACTTCCAGGAGCTTCCACTGGAGAGAAAATGAACTATGGAGCTGATGCAGAGTATGAAAAGTTCATGTCAGAGATGAAATGATGCCTCACTTTGTGTTGCTGGTACTATTTGTTAAGAGGTATGTTCTCATTTGTAATTTTATCCATGCTAAAATTAAACGTTGTACTTATAACTGATAATTGTTCACTTAGAGGTAGAATTACACTTTCCTGATCTTCCAAATAACTGAGGAAAGTACACAACGAGTAACCTAGTTATCATTTGACTCGAGTTACAACTTTCTCTTTTCTGTATAACTGCAGCACGCAACACCTGTGTTCTTATAGTCCTGGAGGCAAATGTATACCCTTAGGAATCCCAAGTACTGTAACTGATTACTTTCAACTCCTCAATTCCTCTACTTTTAAGAAGGGAAAAAAAATAAAACCCTTGAAAGTTTAGTGGTACTATTTAGTGGTTGTCATCATGCCTCTGTCAGTGAAGTGATTGAGAATTGAGATGCTTCACATTGACATGGAGTGAACAATCTTTGTACTATAATGTTTTTATGCTTCTCATGGCCTTGGAGGTGGACTCTGCATTTGCATTACTATTGCTGTGCTTGGTTGGAGCTGATGAATGTCAGTATGTGAGTTTACTGTACAACCGAGAATCATTGAATAATGATGTGCCTTCATATCTGCTGATTCCTATCCATCGCATATATCCACTATATGATTATATTGTCATACCACCTCATGCTATGTTCTTTCTATTTACACTTCTTAACCAGTTGTTTTTGTCATTATTGGATAATTTTTCAGGCCTGATGTTTCTTGGAGCAACCTGATTTCTTACATCTTGCCCTGACTTTGAAGTTTGGGACTCACATCTTTAACCTTGCTGTACTGTTATGACATTTGCAGAGATTCGTGCTGCTATTACAATCCACAGAGCCTCTCATATCAGAGAATCGATCGGAGTTTTATTGATGTTCCTCACTGTTTTGTAGGACTTAAATGATTATATTCTTGTGGATAATGGTGCTTCGATATTATGTTTTTTATTTGCTAATCTTTCTTTTAGTGCTTCATTTCAAAATTATTATGGAAATTGGAGATAGGTCTCCTGCTGTTGTGTTTGTGTCCTACAGGTTGTTCACATTGGGACTCTGGTTTCTGTCATACTTTCTATGTTAAGCTCTCAATATTTTGTTATCGTAGTGCTCCTGATGTTTCGTGGGGTTGGCATTCCTTCGAGGCATTCAAAGGTATATAAGCAATTCCCTGGAATGTCAAGGCATTTTTGGTAGGTTGGAGAAGCTGCTGCTGCAGCTCATATCTATCTGTGTTCATGTTATATTTGTTCATGAAGCGCTTCCTTGACATGGTACTTCCTTTCAATACACACTCTGACGATTCCTTATTGGAAGGTGGAGATGATTCGGATTTCGGTAGGTTGAAATGACACTGCTACAGATGTTTGGAGACAAATCAATTCTGTGTTTTTTCTTCTTTTGATGCTCTCACTGTTGCATAGCATAGACTGGTGTTATACTGGAGCTCATTGTATGGTAAACGTGTTAGACGAGTTAGGTGCTCGTATATAGGGCTAGTGATCAGGTTCTTATGGCAGCGCATAAGCTCTTCTTCTAAAGTGGGAACTTAACCTCTAGTTGCAGGTCTTTCTCAGAAGATAATCCAGCTTGGAATATATTGAGTTGATGCGTTTTCTCTTGATATTTTGCTGACCCTCTGCTCTAACCCTTTGTATGTGAGTTGGTCAGGAATCGTTGAAAATGGTAAGAGGGAATTTGTTGCCAGCAAAGGCTCTCTCTGGACTTTGTCAAAGGAGATTCTGGGGTTGGGGATCGGCTATTAGTGTTGTTCGTCAAAAGAGAGTTAGGGTTCCTTTGTCCGAATAGAAAACAATAAATAACATTGGTAGGCACTTATATAATAGGATTGTCATGTGAATCGGAATTGGTGTAAATGTTTTGTTTTATTTTGTTTGGTTGTCTTGTGACATTATTCTGGTTATCAATTAGTGCTTTAAGGGCTTGCTAATGTCTTTCACTAGCATATGGATTTTGTTCGGTATTTGGTTTTCTTCTTAGTTGCTTCTTTGTGGTTAAATGTACTTGTGTCTTTTGTGCATGTGCTTCGAGTGGTGGCGGTCATTACGGTTGGGAAAAAGTATAGATACCAGATATTATGTCCAGATCAGATTCAACATGTGTGATCTAACCTTGTATGGGCTGCAACGTCTGGAGCATGTAGACCATATTGAAGGAAGAAAAAAAATGGTTGGTTTAATCAACCACACAAAAATTGAACTAATTCCCAAGAAAAAAATAGGTATTTTTATTAAACATAAAAAAATTGAACTAATTCCCAAGAAAAAATAGGTATTTTTATTAAACATAAAGTCAACATGCATGCATAATTTTGATAACATTGCATAATTTTGATAACATTGATATAAGTAGGGTTAATATATTTGTATGCCCGAACTTTTCACATATTAAACATTCTAGCCAATCTTTTTGATCTATAATTTCGTGGCATCAACTATGCATAAAAGTTATGAAATTGGCCAAACTCGAGATTTGACTATTATCTTGGAAGGTCAAACACGTTGACTGTTAGTCAACACGCCACGTCACAGCCACATCAGTACATACTGCTTAACATTTTTTATTTTTTCCACCTATTACTACTTAAAAAAGGAAAAAATGGTTCCCGACATTTTTAATTTCCTTTCCTTTTTTCTTCTTTTGTTCAAAATGAAAAGATAAATGGTAATAGGTGGAAAAAATCAAAATTTTTAAGTGGCTTGTGCTGACTTGGCAGTGACGTGGCGCATTGATCGTCCAAGATAACGGTCCAATCTCGAGTTTGGCCAATTTCGTAACTTTGATGCATAGTTGAGGTCACGATGTTATAGATCGAAAATATTGACTAGTATGTTTAATATGTGAAAAGTTCGGGCCATACAAATATATTAACCCATATAAGTAATAAAAGGGTAAATTGCAAGGTTGTTCGCTAGAATTACTAAATACGTTCACATTTGGTCACTACAAATATTTCATTAAATTTGTGGAAACGAAAATTTGTTAAATATTTCAAGTTTGATCACTCTCATTCCAACTCCGTTAACTTTTGCTATATGACAGTCAACTCTTCTAATAACATCGTTAAATGTGTGACATGAAAATTAAAATATAATTAATTTAATTTTTATAATTTTAACAACTATTTGAAAAATAAAATTACATTCAGAGGAACCAGCTGTTGCTGATTCGATGCCGTTCAACCGGGGGAGGGGGGAGGAAGGTATCACCATTAATCCCAGCTGTAAATCACTTGGTCTTCAGGCTTCCCCCTTAGAAATTCAGGTTTGGGGAGTAAAGGTTGAATTTTGGCATGCAACGGGACTTGAAATGATGGATTCCCTCCAGGGTTAATTGGATAGGATACCACGTAAGTATTGGTTTCGTCGTGGTAAAGAACTCAAAATAGATCGAATGCATACTAACCACTTAACTTTTTTAGTTGCAACTAAACCATATTGTACCATTATATTTTCCTTCCTTAAACTTAACGGTGGGTATCAAATTGAAGTTTTCCACTATAATTTACACCATACTATTTTTCTTTCACCTTCTTCCTCTCTCCAAAACAATATTTTTTAAAAGAAAAATAGAGGATTGAATAAACCAATCACAACAGCCCTTTGAAATTCTTCTCATGCTCTATAGCTGCCGATCCTCTTATAAATTTATTTATAGAGTTGGAGATGGGGGGCTTCGACTGCGAACTTAGGTCGAAAAAATGAGTTTCGCTCTGGAAGTCTTTCTTTAGTAGAAGACCAGTAACAAAGCTATAATAAAACTTCACCTAGAATTCCTCATTACTTTACTCTCTTTATTGCTCGATTTTACTGCCTAAGAATCGTTTCTAAATTCCTCCTCACTCATCTAGTTTAAAGCATTCCCTTGTATTTAATCTCAAGATGTTTCTTTTTTTATCTGATCGTCACCTGAAGTTCATGTGTGCAGAACTAGGCTAAAGAAAAACTCTTTACACTGGAACTTCTTTGAGCTCAAATATTCATTACAACACTTATACAACAACATGTACAAATTTATTTATAAAAAATGAATTTAAACAATCTATAAGAGGGCACCAAAAAGCCTTTCCCCCGAAAGAAAAACTTATACTGAGGTGCCAATTATGCAAAACATTTTATAAACGAAAAAAAAAAAATAGAATAAGGATTGCATTTCAAATTCCACATAAGTTTAAAAAATTTACTTTATGTGGAAGGAAGCCAAAGTTAAATCCAATTATACCCAAATAATTTATAAGAAAAATGAAACAATTGAAAATTTTAATTAAAACAATAAATGAGGGCGTAAGATAATTAAAAAGAGCGTTAGTAATACCAAAATGAAGATGGAAAAAGGCGAGAAAAAATGGAATTGTGTAAATTGATGCGGAAAAATTCAATTTGATAACTGTTGTTAAGTATAAGGATGGAAAATATAACGGTGCAATCGAAAATTGACTTATGTGGTTTAGTTGCAACTAAAAAACTTAAGTGGTCAGTATGCAACAAAACCAATACTTATGTGGTATCTAGTGCAATTAACCCGCAGAGCTTCCCCGTACAACAAGTGCGCTCATGAAATGTGTGCGGCGCCGACGATTTCGACGAAGGTGTCGAGAGGCTAGATCTCCCGCTGCTCAACTAGACATTTAGCTTGGGGTGGGATATTGCCGCGATGTATCGGACTCGATCGGTGCGATAATCACGGTCTCCGCCTGCTGCAACAGCCACTCGATGGTCTCCCCGTTCGACTTGGTCCCCGATTCCCTAGTCAATTGGAAAACCCTCGCCGCGCAAGCCGTCGACATCCGTCACTACCCCTACTCCCGTTTCATTTCCAACAAAGTCCTTTTCTCATCCGCCAAACGGTGGAAGCCGGATTGAGAGTCGGAAGTGAGAAAGGATTAGCTGGAGAATGTTGTGGCGGAGAAAATAGACAAAGGTGAGGAGGAATCGGGAGGAGAATTTCCCGTTTATTCATGCTTCCA